AGGCATACAGATCCTGCTTTTCTTACCATTCTTCTACAAGATCATATTGGTGGCCTTCAATTCTTGCATGATAACAACTGGACAGATGTGCCTCCAATCCCAGGAGGTTTGGTAGTCAATATTGCAGATCTTCTTCAGGTATGTCTCCAAAGATATTTTCGCATCTACATTAATTAACCCCCCAAACTCTGAAATGAATCTGATATGGCTACTAATACATTTCAATCCAAATATTGGTCAGATTGTTTCGAATGACAAGTTTAAGAGCAGGGAGCACAGAGTGATTGCAAACAGAATAGGCCCTAGGATTTCAGTGGCGTGCTTTTTCATAGGTGTTGCTGTGCCTGAAAAGATCTATTATCCTGCCAAAGAGTTGATATCAGATGAAACGCCTCCAGTTTATAGGGAGTTTACGGTTGGAGAATATATGAGTAACTTCTTCTCAAGGCCAATTGACAAGTCGGGTCTTGACCATTTTAAGATCTGAGCCAGCTGTGTCCGCAGCACCAAATAATAATCCACAGGAAACACATCATCCAAGATGGCATTTGTAATTTGCACTTCTCTATCTCCTAGAACATTTTGTTTTGGAAGAGAACATCGCATTCCTGTTGCTAATATGCTGTTTCTTGTTTGGTATCATCAATGTGAATAAATAAGTTGCAAACTTGCAATTTACCAGTAGTCCATACTGGATTGAAAACTTGGCATTAGCAAAAGATGTAGTAGTTTAGAACTTGTACGGTAGTACCTTTAGCCTAACCCAAAGATGATCTACTACGTTAACTAATGAAATTGGCGCGCATATCTCAGCATCTTCTTGAAAAACGTATGAAATAACATATACTTGAAATTGAACTCCTAAAAGTGGTGTCTAAGTATCTTAGCTGAGTAACCTTTTACCTGCATTTACACTTTCGACTAGATAGAAGGAAGCTTATGACGAATAAAGAGCTAATCAACAATCTTAAATTATCCTGGAAACATCAAACGTAAAATGATAAATTTTGCACTGCTCATAGAGGGAAAAATCTTACCACCCAAAAGAAAATTACTAGTGGGAGATGCTAGGTTTACTAGTGGGCTATACTTGTTCTATGCAGCTCTATTGCAGAAAATTTGCTTGAGGCTTGTTTCACTAGTAATCCTGTAACAAGTACTAAGGAGGAAAGTTTATGAATCCCATATAATTTCATGTATTTCACTGACAAGGAGCTTATTTACTTGGTAGTGATTTATTTGTTTTCAATCCGCCCCCCCCACGCTGCTCACAATAGGATAAAATTTGCTTAGTAGTTTTCATATTTTCAATAAGCAGGATCAAATCTGGGGTCTTTCACTTATTCTCCTTTTTTCCGAATCATGCAATCCAACCCTCCTCCATACTTAGTAGGTTACTTCACCATTAAATATGAAAAATAAGATCAAATAAGAGACCTATTTCAGTAGGAGTATATGAAGCCACTACCCCGTCCAATTCAATAACTTAAAAAAAATACAAAGGATGTGCCTTTATCTTTAGCGTACATAGATGTCTTTAACTCCTTATATAAATCAATTAGATTCCCCCTTCCTCTTGGAGTATTATACTGTAAGTGTTCCCATCAGTTAAAATAGAAAAAGAAAAATACACGAGGGCTCACAAGTTCTAGTGCACTCTCTTTTTTATGAATCGGGCTGAGGTAAGTTCCAGGAGCACCCTAGTAATCCCACATCTAGGCCCAATAAAAATCCTCTCACAAAGATGCTAATTGTATCTGACATATGGGCATTGTACCCAATTCGTCTTCGCCCAATACTGTCCTGAGTTTGACCAGCACCGTTAAAATTTGCTGCCAGCCAATGGCCCCTAATGGGTTTCCAATCATTGCTGTGGAAGATGAAGATGATGAGTACCATTGGCATGCTTTGTAAGCAAAGAAGGTTACCAAATGATTGGTTTTACTATTGAGCAAGCTAGGACCCAGTGCTAATTTTGGTTTGAATGGTACTTTTCTAATAAAAAAAGCTTTATATTTTTCCGAATACATCTTTCAATCATTCTTTTATCTTATATACATCAAATCAGTACAGTACATTTTTTTTATATTTTTTTTATAGTAATTCAAATAGAAGGTCCTGTTCAATTTGATTATCATGAACATATTCCAGATGTCATCACAAAAAGTTACTCCTAACCTTTTCAATTGTCCATGATCATTGCACTTTAATAGATAAAGCTTGCTTATGTCTCATTACAAAAATCGTTGCAGTCGAGGGGTAGTTCAGTTCAGTTTCACGACAGTCGCGGTTCTTGAAAGATGATGGTAACTACCTACAGGTTGTTGAACTCTTTTACATCATAGCTGCAAGGCCAACGCATAGAAAAGAAGATTTAGCAGATTTGGTAGGTGACTAATGAAGTATAGTCAGAGCTTAATTTTGATTAACGTGAATATTTGACTCTGATCATTAGGCATTGTTGAATTTTTATTAATTATCAAATTTTGCCTACAAAACTTTGGGAACCATATTTATTTGGATTAAGTTTTCATTCATTGTTAGTATAGTGAATTTTTTATACCAACAAGTGTAGATGTATGTCACTTGTGCAAAAAGTGAATTTCAATTTTGAAATTGGATTACGTGGCATGTATCTACATCTGCTCGCATATACGCTGATAGTGTATAAAAAAATTTACTCTATTTATTTTGGTCAAAAAATTTAGGACCAAGTTTCTCATAAGGCAAAATTCAGGAGACCAGAACTATTTGTCACCATTTTTGCAAGAACATAAACTTCTTCTGAGGAAATGTATGCATACCAATCAATAATAATAACTTAGATTTCTCATGATGGACCCATCCCATTATTTCATGTGCATGTTGTGCAGCCACAGGTCACAAATAGAATACCCTAGTAATAAAGAAATTCGTTCTTTAGCATACTGCTTGCATTCTCCACTTCCGCTTTCTACCCATACCGTTTTAAATAATTTCTAGTTTTGTATCCTCAACATTAATCAACTATTTTCATATTATCACTTGAAATTTTATTTTTGGATACTTTACACCATAATGTTATTAACGAAATTCAAGTTACAATGATCTGACAACCACCAACCTTTGGCCTGCTGACCACTACCAAAGTATTAAAAGATTGGTGGGGTGGGAGGCAAGGTCCGATGGTAGTTCAATCCCCTCCGAATTATCCTTGGATCTATTTAGATCCGCCCTCTCCCCATAGAGTAGGATAGAATAGGTTTATCGTCTCCGTAAAATAAAAAAGTTACAATGATCTGACAATCTATTATTGAAAGTTTAGCCTATTAATGATACATGATTGACAGGATTCTGATGTTGCAGGATGACCATGGTGCTACTATTACTGAGTATGAGCAATGGCCCTTAGTTTCTACACACAACTATTCAGTAGACATGGGGATTAATGAGGTGACATGAGATCCCGATTGAGTCTTGTCTTCACTCACATACTTACTGATGAGCAAAAAACAATGCTGGAAGCTATTGTGACTGATGAAGAGATTAAGCAGGTAATTTTTAACATGAAGGATGGGAGAGCTCATGGACCAAATGGGTTTACTACAGAGTTTTTTAAAGCTAATAGGAGTGTAGTAGGAGAGGATGTGATACTGGCTTTAAGGTTCTCTTTTGAGCAGAATTATATGTATATTCCTATAAATAGCACTGCTGTTACCCTGAACCCAAAGGTTGAAAATGCTATAAAATGAAGTATTTCCGGCCCATTTCTTGTTGCAATACTTTGTATAAGTGCTTCTCTGGAATTTTGGCAGCTAGATTGAAACGTGTCCTACCTACTATTATCAGTGATACTTAAAATGCCTTTGTTAAGGGCAGGCATATTATTGATAATGTCCTGGTAATGCATGAATTGGTGAGAGGATATCAAAGGCGTGGGACGGTGGGAGTAAGCCCAGATCTATTTTGAAAATTGATGTTATGAAAGCGTATGATTCTCTATGTTGGGAGTATCTCTTTTCTGATCTAGAACTGCTAGGATTCTCACTCAATTTCAATGGATCACTTACTGGATATTTCTCCAGTGAAAAAGGTTTGAGGTAGGAGGATCCCATTTCCCCTTACCTCTTTGTGATTTCAATGGAAGGATTCAGTGCTTTGTTTAATTGGCTAGTTCACCAAACTGGGTTTGATTTTCATCCTCACTGCCAGAAGATTGGGCTAACACATTTGACTTTTGCAGATGATCTCTTTATAATTTCTGATGCTGCAGAGAGATCCTTTACACTTATTGCTGCTGCTATGGAGGAATTTGGAGAAATGTCAGGGTTGGAACCAAATCTTAAAAAATGTCTGATTTTCTTTGCTAGGGTCACTGATCAAAAAGCTGATAAGCTCAGTAAATTAGTCAAAATGCCTAGAGGATAACTACCAGTCAAGTATCTAGGATTGCCATTAATTACATCTAGATTATCCTATAAGGATTGTCAACCAATTGTCACCAAGCTGCATCAGAAAATACAAAGATAGGCTACTTAAAAGTTGAGTTATGGTGGTAGAATACAGCTTATACAATCTGTCTTGAATAGCATACATTTGTATGGGTCAAGTGTGCTTATTCTTCCAAAACTTCTTGTTAAAAAGATTGATAGTATCATTGCATCATTCCTATGGGCAGGGGAAGTTAGAACTGAGCGAGAGTAAGTTGGAAGGATATATATCTACCAAAAAAAGAAGGTGAACTTGGTATTGTGGATTTGTTCTTATGGAATAAATGTCTTGGTGATGAAACTCATTTGGAATATACGCAGCAAGAAAGACTCTTTATGGGTGACTTTTCGGCTCTTTATATTGATGGTAAAATATGGGTATTTTGGTCGTGTCTCGTACGAATTAGCTGTGTCGAGTACGCTGAGTAAATGATTCACGTTCAAGTTTCCTTTGCCTCTGGGGCATTCTTTTGGTTGTTTGCGGTATATGCAAGATGTACGAGGGTTGGCCGGAGGCCTCTTTAGGAGGCAATGGAAAGTGTTGCTTCGTCGGTTTCTCTAAATCAACCCTGGGTAGCAGCTGGCGACTTCAATGTCATAGCTGCAGCAGAGGAGTGTGAAGGGGGGCCTCCCGCCAATGTTCGGAACATGGATGAATTTAATGCTGCCATGTTTAATTGCGGCCTATCTGTAATTGATTTTGATGGATCTCATTTCACATGGACTAATGGGTCAGTCTGGCAGCACTTGGACCGGGCATTGGGGAATAGGCTGTGGTCTGAGGCCTATCCGCTATCTAGGGTTTCTCATATGGCCAGAGGGAGATCTGATCATAGCCCTCTTTTGATTAAATGTGCAGGCAATAGGGTGGGTTCGTCTTGTTTTCGGTTTCTCAATATTTGGCGGCGTCACCCCCAATTTCGGGAGATAGTGTTGGAAGCGTGGAATAAAGAGGTCTATGGCATGGAGATGGTTAGATTTTACAACAAACTCGAAATGGTGCGGGACAAATTGAAGCAATGGAACCATGAGGTGTTTGGCAATGTTTCTTCTAAGGTGGCAGAGGCTGAGCAGGAGTTGAAACAAAGGGAGTCAGAGTATGATTTGATTAAGGGATGGAGAGTCTAAGATTCGTTTTCATGAGGCCAGGGGGAGATTTAATCAGGCCCTTTCTATGGAGTGTGAGTTTTGGCATCAGAAGGCGGGTATTAAATGGTTACAGGCGAGGGATGCTAATACTGCTTTTTTCCATTCTAGGGTTTGCCAACGTCGGAACTCGAATTTCATCTCTCGTATTAGGAAAAAGGAGGGGGTGTCATGAAACCAACAAGACATTAAGAGCTCAGCGATATCCTTTTTTTCGGGGTTGTTCTCATCCCACCGTCAGGTGCAGCCCCTTCTGAGCTTCGTTTTGAAGTTCCTAGAGTCACTCAGGCTGATAATGATATGATGAAACGGCTTCCTACGATGGAGGAAATCCACGAGGTAGTGTTTGGAATGGACATACAGAGTGCACTAGGTCCGGATGGGTTTGAAGCAGGATTTTTTCAAAGTTGCTGGGACATTATTAAAGATGATTTGATTATGGCTATTCAGGATTTCTTCCAAAGGTATGGAGCAACCCAAGAGCTGGTCCCACTCTCTGTTGGTGCTCATCGCGAAAGTGGAGGGTGCATCCCACTGGAGGGAGTTTCAGCCCATTAGCTTTTGTAATGTAAGTTCGAAGATAGTGTCTAAAATTTTGGCGATTAGGATCAATAGGCTCCTTCCGAAACTCATTTCACCATGGCCAACAGGGTTTGTTCCAGGTCATGGGATAGTGGATAATGTTCTTTTGGCATAGGAGTTGGTTTTAGACTTGGATAGGAGGTTGATTGATCCAAACTTGATCTTGAAACTGGACATGGAGAAGGCATACGATCGGGTCGACTGGTCGTTCTTACTTTTTATGCTTACGCAATATGGCTTTGAAGAGGCTGTAATGGATTTGCTCTTTCGAACGTTCTCTAATTCTTGGTTCTCGGTCTTAATTAATGGGGAGCCAACAGGCTTCGTGAAGTCTTATCAGGGGGTGCGGCAGGGGGACCCCCTTTCTCCCGCGCTTTTCCTATTCGTGGCAGAATTTCTAGGCAGGGGATTGCAAGGGATATTTGATTCCAAGGATAGTCGATAGTTTGTATCTGCAGGGTCGAAAGTGCCATATTTAGTCTTTGTGGATGATATGATTATTTTCACTCGGTGCTCGCAGGATGCGTTGTTGTCCATAAGGGATTTTTTGCAGCTCTACCAGCATTGCTCTAGCCAAAAGGTGAATATTACTAAGAGTGCTTTTTACGCGTCGTCTAGGATTACGGACACTCAGCTGACCCTGGTCAGCACGACCCTGGGGTATCAACGTCAAGGTTTTCCGTTTCGGTATCTAGGGGTGCCACTAATCCGTGGTGGGGTTACATGTGCAGGGTTTGATGGGTTGCTGGCCAAAGTACGTCAAAAGTTATTCCATTGGAGCTCGAAGACGCTATCTAGGGGGGGGGGAGATTGTCCTTATATGAAGTGTCCTATGTTCCCTTCCCGTCTATTTACTCCAGGTGCTCCAACCGCCGAAGGCAGTGTTGCTGCATTTAGGCCGAGTGTGTAAAGCTTTCCTGTGGGACACCTCTACTGAAGCCAAAAGGGTCCATTGGGTGGCTTGGGATAAGGTTTGCCGCCCGGTAGAGGAGGGGGGACTGGGGTTTCGCTCGTTTGAGGACGTCGCTAAGGCTTTCTCATGTAAGCTCTGGTGGAAGTTGAGGGGATAGGCATCCATTTGGGCTATGTTCATGCACGTTAAGTACGTCAGAGGTGGGCATCCTCTTCTTGTTTCACCTGACCGTCCGTCCCCAGTTTGGCGCCGTTTGTTGGAAGTGAGGGATCTCACGAAGGGGAATATCCGGTGGTGTCTGGGCGAGGGCTTGGTTGACTTCTGGCAGGACAGGTGGTGTTCTGATGTTCCGCTTGCTAGTTTGGTGCCAGGGCCTAAGTCACACAGGTTGGTGGGAGAGTTCTTTCTCTCTGATGGTTGGGATGAACAGTGGCTTCGACTGCTTCTTCCGGGGCACTTGGTGTCGAAGATCTTGGAGCTGCGTATATTCCCCAATACTCGAGACCAAATGATTTGGGCGGCGTCACCTTCGGGGAGTTTTACTATGTCTTCAGCTTGGGAGGTTCTTCTCTCCAAGCACAACTGGTCCACTATTGATTCATTGGTCTGGAGCTCGGTGGTCCCTCTGAAGATTTCCTTATTTGCTTGGCGTTTGTTGCTAGGATGGCTTCCCTTGGATGATCTCCTTCAAGGTAGGGGGTTGAGGTTAGCGTCAAAGTGCTACTGCTGTGGCTGAGCATTGGAAACGGGCGACCATCTTTTTGTCTTGGGGCTTTTAGCAAGCAGTGTTTGGTGGCATTTCTCTCACGTCTTTGGGCTGATGGTCCAGGGTAGTGGGGTGGCTACGAGGCTTGCCAGCTGGCTCTTGTCTCATCGGTTTGTTTCACAGAGTCATATTCGTGTCATTCTTCCTCTATTGATTTTGTGGTTCCTTTGGAAGGGCCGTAACAAGGACCACTTGGAGGGGACGAGTATGTCGTCTGATCAGATAATCAACCAGGTGTGTGCATTTCTCGACCAGTTGGGTAGGGGTGGCCTGCTTAAGGTGGAGTATTTCAAAGGGGACACAGATTGTGCTTGGGTGCACTATGGTAAGGTCAAGGAAAAATTGGTACAGCTTCGCGCCTTTTCTTGGGTGAAACCTCTAGGGCAAGCTGTGAATCTCAATACTAATGCAAGTGTCGTAAGCGGGCGTGCTATGGGTGGAGGGGTGGTGCGTTCGACTAAGGGTGATTTAGTGTTTGCCTTTTATAAAGAGTTTGGAGAGCAAGACATTCTCTCTGCAGAAGCATTGGCATTGCAGGAGGGCCTACGCTCTTGCCAGGACAACAATCTCTTGGGATTCGTAGTGGAGGTAGATTCTAGTACTTTAGTGAGTGTCGTGTCCTCCAAGATGCCATCTCGCTGGCCATTATGCAACATTATTAGGCATATTCAATTCTTGGTGGCGAATTTAGGAGTGTCTTTGGTTCACACGTTCAGAGAAGCAAATGCGGTTGCAGATGCTTTGGCCTCCTTGAACCTACGATCGGATGTCCGGTTCTCAAGTGCTGCAGATCTCCCTTCTAAAGTTTGGTCACTTTTGCAGTTCGATAAGTTGTCCACTCCGTATGTGAGATTGTGTACGGTTTCAGGTTAGGTCAGGTCACACGGTCAGTGTAATTCTCGTTTCTTTGCTAATAAAGATCGGATTCAATAAAAAAAAAAAAAAGACTCTTTATGGGTGAAATGGATTCATAAAGTCATGTTGAAACAGAAGTCCTTTTGGAGTATTAAGATCCCAATGGATTTTTCTTGGATATGGAGAAAATTATTGAAACTAAGGCCCGTAGCTCAATCGTTTATTCGGAATGTAACTGAGAATGATGCATGGCATCCTGTGGGACCGTTATTCTTGCAGTTGTCAGAAAATCTACTACATTCCTTTGGGTGCAACTCATGATAAAGTGGCCTTTATCATGAAGATGAAAAATGGAAGTGGCCTCAAGATAGGAAAATGTCAAAGGAAGTAAAAAGGCTGAACCAATTAACTCCCGAAAGTTTTGTTCCTATGCCAGATTATGAAGATCAAGCTAGATGAACTGCAAGTGGTAATGGTGTTTTTTCTGTTAAATCAGCTTTGAAGGCAATTAGAGGTAGATAAGCTGCAGAATGCTACAAACTAGTTTGGGGTAAAAATCATGTACCAAGATGCTCCTTTATTTTATGGCTACTTTGTAAAAGAAGATTGGCAACAGTGGACAGACTGAGGAAGTGGGGATCGAAGGTGGAATCAACAAACTATGTTTTCTGTGCAACAGTTGAGGAAAGTATGGATCATCTATTTTTTAGTTGCTCAGTTACACAATGAATTTGGCAAAAGGTGCAAAACATGTGTGGTGTATTTAGACGTAAACTCTTTTGGGATTGTGAAATCTCTTGGCTTGCTCATCACTAGTCAGAGGACTCATTTTGCAATCAATTCAAGAGGATGGCTTTAGCGGTGGCAGTGCATACCATTTGAAGAGTTCGAAATGAAATTAGATTCCATTCAAAGTAGAGATCAGATGCGGATATCCTTGATGTCATTGTTAACATAGTCCATTATGCAGCTATTTCTTGGGATAAAATTGCTCAGACTAAGGAGAATTGGAGGAAGTTGGTGGAGTGGGGAATCCCAACCATGTATTTGTAGAGTTCCAAGAATGTACAATAGGGAGGAGTGTAATAGTGATGTTAAGAGGATCTTTGTGTAACCTGATTTCCTAATATTAATAAAATTTATCATTTTTGTTAAAAAAGTGATACATGATTGTTACATAAATACATATATAAATAAATATATATATACATATATATGCGAGAAAGGACGTCACCCTAGATTATTAAATGAATTTAAAAAAGGAGGAGAACATAAAGAGAAAAGGCATCACCCCTAAATTTTATTAAATGAATTTAAAAAGAAAGGAGAACATGAACTTCACCTCTATATATATATATAACAAACTTGCAAGAAAGAACGTCACCCCTAGATTTTATTAAATGAATTTCAAAAGAGAGGAGTGCACAGAATTTAAAAAACGGAAAAGGACAGGACAGGACAGGATTCCTTGAAGTTCAGTGTTAGTGAAATATAATTGTACAATGCACCAAAAACAAAAGTATTGCAAACCGTAAATGCATAGATCTCTCTCTTTATTATCAAATGGGATTAGGGATGGCAACGGGGCGGGGGATGGGGGAGGGGTGGGTTGGGGCGGGAGACCCCTCCCCCATCCCCCGCCCCACTACCTACAACCCCATCCCCCGCCCCACTACCTACAAATTTCCCCTGCCCCCGCCCCATCCCCCGTCCCAGCCCCGTCCCGCTTCCTCCGCGGGTGCCCCGCGGGACTAATAAAAATTTGTTATATAATTTTATTATAGTTAAATTTTAGCAAATAATCAAGTACTAAAATATCAACATATCATCAAATTATTATTCATTGTAATTTTACAATTGAAACTTATAAAAACAATCAAACAAAAATTATTTGAATACAATCCAACATGATAAAATAAATATAACTAAAGTAGCCAAGTTTTCACTTTTGACACAAATACAATCACTAATTCATTATTGTGCTTGTGCTTTTTTTAAGAAAAAAATGTTATTGCATTAAGTGTAATTAGGGATTTAGTATAAATGTATTAGTAAATTTAGTATAACCAATTAATAATTTGTATTAGTACACATATATAATTATTAGTATAATTAATAATATCAATTATATTATATATATACTAATAGACATTATATAATACATATAACTAATAATATCATTATCATAAGTTTGTAACTAATTAAATTATATATTATATATATTTATATACATATATTTATTTTTTTAAAGCGGGTGGCGGGGCGGGGGTACACTCCCCCGCCCCCCGCCCTGTTTCTAAGCGGGGGAAAAAAATTCCCCCCGCCCCCGCCCCCTCACCATTAGTTCCCCGCAGGCGCGGTCACCCGCCTCCATTGCCATCCCTAAATGGGATGTTTGAAAATTGTCCAGAGTAAGGCTTCAATGTAGGAAAACTACAAAATGAAGTTAAAAATGAAAAGGTAGGTGACCTTAAGTAAATTTTGGTTACGCATCAAGATTTAGATACACTCCCAAATCACGTAAAAAAAATAATCCAATAATGGTCCAATAATACGATTACTACCAAATTTAGCTTTATCAAGGAGTACGAAACCATCATTTGATTAAGTTAAATCTCAAAAATCACAAAATAATACCATTGTATATTATTATTTAGCAACTAATCACGGAAGTCTAAAATTTTGAGGCGTTTAAGTGGTGCTCAAGAATCTCATTTAACAAAAGTGAAGAGTAATTAGTTTTTGTTTAAATGTATGTTATTTTCCGTTTCGGCATTCGTAACATTCTAAGAATATAGCTTACCTAAAGAATAAGTAATAATTTCACATTCTAACCTTAAAGTGACAGATAGTAATCTTAATACCTTGCCTCCAAGTATTTGGCTAACTTCACCATGTAGGGACACAAACTGCATGTGTTATTTTAATCCAAATTCAGTCCTAACAAATGTCGTTTGATTAACTAGGCTAGTTGAGTTCTGACTTGGTACTACTTTTTTACACAGATAATTATGGCCTAAATTACAAGATTATTTAACGTTAATAAATATTTTTTTTGCAGTAAATTACTATTGTGCAACCAACCTGAGTTATGTTATGATTTATGCTTCCCAAAGTACAATATATTGGTAACTAACAGCATAGTAATTATTTTGTAATATATAACAGGGATATTTCTAACATCATTTGGTTAAAATCCGGACATGATAAGAAATGACTGTGAGTACTTCTAACATTATTGAGGATACTGTTTTCACTACCTCTTTGCAAGGTATTGCAAATTGATCCAGGCTGTATTTCCTTTTAAGGCGAGGAGGCGATTCCTTTTGTATACGATAACATTTTAACTGCTAAATCTTTTAACTAATTGCTATATCCAACTGCTGGTGGTGCAATGACATAGTGCTTGTGAATGGCCATGTTTGGATGAAGTAAAACTGCACATTTAGTATTTGTTGGGGCAGTTCATGTGACAAACTAGAGCACTAATAGTAGTCATGATTATGTGGTCCCTAAGCAATTTCTAATGATCATGCATGATAGGATAAGTAGTTCTGTTGCATGTAGAGGCGGAGCCACATGTAAGTAATTTTGAGAAAATTAGTTTTTGACCTTAAAAATTTTAGAAAATTTTTAAATTGCATCTTATTTGCCCGCACTAAATTTTAACAAATTCTCCTACATTGACCTCAAATAATTAAATTTTCATAATTTTTACCATTTACAAGAAATTTAGATCTAGTTAAAGTTAATTGTGGAAGTTATTTCAAAAATAAATTCTTTCCAAGTTTCTAAATTCAAATAGAGAGAATGACTTTTACTACTAAATTTAAGCATATTATGAACTTCAAAACTTATTAAGGGTGCGTTTGACAAAACTGAGTTTCAAATATGATGTCTGAAATCTGAGTCTATTAAGTTATTGAATTATTAAGTACTAAAATTTTTGCATTTGAGTATATTATGCATTAAGTTATAAGTGAACAGCTTATCACTTATTGTTTTGAGTAAGTTTTCCCTAAGCAATTCGAACCACTTAATTACTTAAGACATTCTATTTTCAGTTATTAGACACGTCTTAACATATTAAAATCTAAACCCATTAAGACTAATTGTTGAATTGGGTTATCAAATATGACCTAAATTTGATTAAAATATTTAACATAAATATCCATTGGTTTAACTATACTATTAATTCATTTAGGGTTGTAAACGAGCAAACATCAAGCCAAACACCTTAATATTAATGTTTGTTTGATTATTTTAATAAATTTGAAATTTTGTTCAAGTTTGATTTTTTTATTTATTTACCAACCCAAGCTCAAACAAGTTTTTAGTGAATCAACTTTAAGTTGAGATCAAGTAGTTTGAATATTTTTACCTATAAGTTCCAATTTTTGCTAATCAATGCAAACTCGAGTCAATTTTAAAAGTTTATCGAATATAAAATTTTGTTCAAATTTAGTTTGATTAGTTCACAAACCAAGCTTAAATGGCCTTTTGTCAAATCGAGTATCAAGTAGTTTGGATGGTTTTTTAGTCCTAACTTTATTTTGTATGCTATTGGAAATTGACTCCCTCTACCTTAGGGTCTCTACCAATGATTGCATATAATTGAGATGTCCTTATTTGATTTTGGATTTTTCTTGGTTATGTTGTACAGGCTTTGGATCAACTTTTGGACTGCTTTTGGCTTATACTCAAGCACTTCTCTATTTGGATATCATCAATCTCTAGTATTTTGGCACTATTGACCATGGAATTGAAGTCTATCTGATGCAGATATCAAACTTGTGCTAAATAGATTAAGGAGTCTTTTCAAACTTCCATTTATTTAATTCAACTGCAAGGAGGTTTAGGCAAGAAGCTTCAAACTTCCATTTATTTAATTCAACTGCAAGGAGGTTTAGGCAAGAAGCTTGGAAGACGTTGGCTTAGCTCGAGAAAGAAAATTAAATTACTGCCCACAAAAATATTGTGACCAGAAGATTTGTATCAAATAAGACATTGGCACGTTAGAGTAGCTATTTGCTAGTCCACATATTATCATGATTTTTAGGATTTTTCCTATTTTATCCATTTTAATTAATTATTGTTTGGCTTTAAACTAAATTGTTTATTTTGTTATTTTTAGTCAATAAAACAGCCAATCTTGTGTTAAGCCTTAAGCTTAATGGGCCGTTAATTTAGTTGAATCCAATAGTTTAATTATTAGATAAGTGAAGTCAATCCAAGTCCAGTTGGTTACATCCTTAGGAAACCTTAGGAACCTCCGAAAAAACAGGATCTGCGGAACAGCAGGAAACCTTAGGAACCTCCGCTAGGGCTCCACTGCGGCGCTCGTCGCAGCAGCATGGCGGCCAAGGGACCGTCGGGGCAGCCTCCGTCAGG